AGACCACGATGATGTCGCCCTTGAAATTCATCACCTGCCCGCTGGAAATAAACGTGGAGTTACTGTTTCCAGTCACATTTCCTACAAGGGGAGAGGAAGAGAGAACAGGCAGAGGGTGAGTCATCAATTCTGGGCAAGAACTTGGGTCTTGTGAGGGGGAAGTTTCCCAGTGCATCGAGGGGCGCTGGCGCCCCAGCTGTCTAACAGGCGGCCCCTCCTCACCCACGTCTCCAAAAATGCATCAGGCACTCCCGGTAGTTCATTTGTCATCTCACTGGGCCTGACTGAAGCCGAAGAAGGAGGAAGGGAGTGAGAAAGAAGACAAGGGAAGGGAAGCAAGCAGTGGGCCACACTCCAGTTTTGTCGTTGGCCACGCGGAGTTCAGGGAACACTGGCAGGAGAGCACACCCGGATTTCAGAATCAAGACGGGATTCAGATGTTGCAGAGGGTGCGCGCGAGTGATGGATACGCAGGAAACACAGATAGTGGCGCAGCAATGGTGAGATGTATCAAGAAGGGATGCAAAAGCCGGAGGGAAGGTGGTTGTTAATAGAACCCAGCAGCCCACCTCAGCCCGGCCTTCCCTCTGACCACACTCATTCAGGTCTTTTCACCCTCCCTGAAGAGGTCCCTAAGCTCTGCCGGGAGGTTCATAGGGCCACCTAGGCTCAGTATTTAGCAGAAGTCAGTCAATTTCCTTAGCATTAAAAAGCAAACAAAAAACTCCTGGAAAAAAAGAGATTCAGGAAACTAAAATGGAAAAAACCCAACCAACCAAAAACAATCTTATAAATCACTCTTTCCTTCTGAAGTGGGGGGAGGGGTGTTCCTCCCTCAGGGGTTCTATCATCACTTTTTGTGGGTGACTGGACTTGGCCAGTCTTTAATTAGTGGGTCTTTTGAAAAACAAATAGTTCAACAATGTTAGGAAACCTACTACCTCTTATTCTTCTGTTGTAAAGACTGATGCTCCAGCAATGACTCAGGCAAAAATAAGTGCCACAAACCCAGCAGATGCAGAAAAGCCCCAACACTCAGCGTCACCACCAGGACCTTTCAGTCTGACCAGGGAAGGTGAACATCAAAACAGTTCCTCACTGTTAACTTCATCTTTTTTTCTTCTCTATTGTGAAGTTTAATAATTCATACAAATGAAATCATTTCTGTCACTATTCCCCATGAAGAGATTTCCCCCAAATGTGGAATGCAGTTTTCAGATAGTCTGACTAAAATGCCAACAGCATCCAGGAAATTCCAGGAGCCTTCCCTGCACCCACAGGGGACCTGTAGAGATGCTGAGACGGGCACAGTGGCCGATGAAAGCACAGGGATTTCATTGGAAAGAGATTTCAAATATAGGCAACAAATTGAAATTCACGGGGAGGATCTGTGACTCATGCTATTCCTCCCCTAGAGCTGTATTTGGTATATTCCTAGACGGGCAGTGGCTGGGCTCTTTTGGCTATTAAGTCCCTTAAGCAGCTTGGGCAAGGCCAGCTAGTATTCCAGTCACCAGCTAGCCAGACTGACCCGTATTCTCCATTCCCTCTAAAAGCCACACTGACAGGTGCCCATAACACCAGCATTCTCCAAGCTAGGTGTTTATTCTCTAGCATGCCTGTGTCTTTCTGCCCCTACCAGTTACCAAGTTCGTTCTTGAGTCTGTTTGTAACCAACTCATAAGGAAATCTAATTAAATACAAGCGGATCTCGTTTTCTTGCTCTTGGGTTTACTGTGCTTCGAAGATACTGAGTTTTTTTTTCAAGTTGAAGGTTTGTGGTAACCCTGCATTGCATTGTCAGATGATGGTTAGCATTTTTTTTTAGTAATAAAGTATTTTTAAGTTAAAGTACGTACATTTTTTTTAGACATAATGCTGTTGCACACTTAATAGACTACAGTGTAGTGTAAACATAACTTTATGTGTACTGGGAAACCCCCAAAATTCATGTGACTGGCTTTGTTGTGATATGTGCCGTATTGTGGTGGTCTGGAACAGAACTTGCAATATCTCTAAGGTCTGCCCGTGTCTTTTTATAAAGTTGTGAAATGTAAGTGTGAGAAAAAAAGAAATGTTTCTATGAATACTAAAGTAAAGGCTTTGCAAGGACCAAATAAATGTGAGCCACTGAACATAAAACAGGAGACATCAACAATGTACTGAACCAGTGTGTGTGGTGGCAACTGTTAAAACACAAAAAGGAGACTTTGAAAATGCAGAGTGGATGTGGCACTCAAATTTGTTCTTCAAATGTCTATAACTCCTCATTCCACACTAAAGAAATAGAAACTGGAAATTAAGAAGGTATGGTTAATGTAAAAAAGGCTCAGGAAACTACAATCAGCCAACACATATGTCCCTATGCTGAAAAATAATCAACGTTGATGTGAGTCACATGTTTTACGTTTAAAAAGGTGTTTAAGATATGAACTTTAAATGACTTTTTCAAGCAACACAGTAACTACTAACGAAGAGCTGTAGCCGCAGCAGAAAGAGTGAGCAGAGTGACTTGCAAGTCCTCGGGGTGGAGGGATCTCTCGCGAGTAATAGAAAAAGTCAAAGCGAAAAATCAAAAGTAACACATCTATACCATAAACATTCTATTCCAATTGAAAACATACCATGTGTACTTAATCAAAGCAGCAATTTTAAGTTGCTTTAAAGTGTGATTTTTTTCCCCTTGGTATATAATTCCTCTACCTTTTTATTATTACAGCATTGGTTCTGTTGTCCTACAGTATCATGTAAACTTGCACAAAAGGCATGGCTAGCCACTGCATGATTGATTTATGGCCTGGAATTTAATATCTTCATATAGCTTTATCTGTTTATGTCATGGTATATATAATTTCTCCATCATTTAAAATTTTATTTTGCAACAAGTCATCATCGTGAATCCACTGTTGCGTACCCTCTCCCTTGTCAGAATCTTGAATTTGTCTGAACTTAGGTAAAAACCTTTTTTTTTTTAACCATCATCTTACACATCAAGACTTTGTGTTAAATTTTTCTTAAGAATTTCGTTCCATATCTTTGCCTCATGGCCAACAATGTATCTTTGACATATTGTATCAGATCTATATCCTTATTTTCTACTTTTTTTCCAAAATGGAACTCAAACCCTTTTGCCTAAGAGATGTATTTAAACATTTCAGAATTCTTTGATCCACAGATCAGGTCAAGAATATTATTCTTGCGGGGGGGCAGTGGGCAGGGGAGGACAAAAAAAAAGTCCTTTAAATTCCTGGTGATTAGGACGTTCCTGAACTGTCCTTGCTTACAAGCAATAATTCCTTAAAATTTGCTTTCCACTTCTCAGAGGGTTTTACATGGTTGGGGGAATGGACCTGAGAGGGAGGGAGGGCCCTGGGAGTCAATAGGACCCCATGTCAGTGAGGTGGGTGCTGCAGGGCCCTCTTATTGTTGGTGACTGGTACAGGGAAGTGAGAAAAGGAAAAGGGGGGGAGGGTGTGTGTGAGGCCTGTCCAGGATGCCTTTAGAAGGCTCAAGGCTTTTATAGGTACCATTAGTCCTCAGCCTTCTGGGAATACAAGCAAAGCCAGGCCTGTTCCCTGCCCCCATCCCACCCCACCCTTCCTGACTCCCCTCAGCTCTCTTTCTGCCAGCTCTCCCCAGCAAGGCCATCCTTCCATTTATTTTAACTTTATTTCACTTGCAAAAAAAAAAGGGGGGGAGTTGGAGGCATGTGGAAGAAACAGCTTTCCTCACAAAAGAATCACTGATGGTGAAAACAGTAACTTCCTGAGACAACTGGCAGAAGAGAGGGGGCTCAGAGGCCAAGGCAGCCGCCACCTCCAGCACAGACACTAGTGTCCCTTCCCATGGATCCTTCTGGGCCTGGCCTGGCCCCTGCCCCGTGCTCAGCCAGAGTCTGCCCTTATTCCACAGCACACTGAGGATTCTCCAGCGCGTGGTAAACAAATGAAATCAGTATCACTGGCACCCACTGTTGGCGAGACGATGCCATGGTTCGAGGCACAGGCTGTGCAACAGGATCTGAGTCGTGGTTTTGTAGCTAACTAGCTGTGTGGTCCTGGGCGAGGAACTTGCCCACAGGACTTCAGTGAGGAATTAGGAAGGAGATACACTTGAGGCACTTAACCAGCACCTGGTAATTAACATCTACGATGTCACTGATAAAAACATAACCTCCGGATGTCAAAACGATCTTAATGGGTCTCTGAACACAAGGTCACTGACGGAATTCTATGTGAAGGCTACCCAAGAGTATGATTTGACGGCCAACACGACAGGAGGATTTTTATTAAATGAGAACGTTTGAAGAGTTCCTAACACTGAACGTGGCTTAACGTTAATATTTAATGTGACTTAGCAAATAATAACCACCCGACTGTCACGCAGATTTTCTTCCAAGGAAAAGAACTAAAAATATACACAAATCCACTCAAATCATCCAAGCTATATTGGGCTCTTTCGGAATTTTTTAAAAACTTATTTTATATTTAACCCATATGCTTCTCATGTGATTTTCTTTTTTATGGAAATGCAAGCTCTGCTTTAGGCTTTTGGAAGAAACTGGGTCTATGATGATACGGGAAGGGAAGCAGTATTTAATAGTTCCATTCTGAATCATGCTTGAAAATTACTTAGAATGGCTCATGAATGAAGTCCTTCCAAATGAGCCCCGTTAGAAAAGAAAGAAGGCAAGCAACTCGAAGTTAAACAAAGCATAGAGTGAACGAACTGTTCGTATATTTTGAAATAATGCATGGACTCTTAGCACCAATGAATGCTGAATATTATTACCAAATAACCAAATTATAAAATACGTTTAACTTATAGAATCAGTGAACTGATACCTGCCCTTATAATACTTAGCTAAAAGTCAAACACGAGTTAGTGGATGGCATTTCAACAGGAGAGAAGGAAGTCAGAAACAGAGGACTGTCCATTGTTTGAGGGGTGGGGAGGATGGGAACTAAAATTGGGTAAGAAAATCTGTCGGGATGGAAGTGGGTGGTCAAGAATAGTCATTTCAGGTTGGGGTGTGGCCCAGGCATGGGAGACTGAGGATGGTGACTGGGAGTCAGGTGGGTACCCTCACCTTCTAGTGCCCTTGGCTCCCAGGCATCAGCCTGGGTGTATCTGTGCCACTTGGACGGATAAGCTCCTCCTTACTTGTCATCTCTGCCGCCTCTACCCAGGACACCTAAGTCTGTCCAGGACAGCTAGTGGCAGTCCTTCCATCCCCCACCTGAACCCCTGCTCCCCAGAACAGACAGAAGAGGTGGAGGCTGAACGTGAGTCAGGGAGCAAACAGGAGATACGGTCTCTTGCTCCTCTAGTTACTCATGGCTGGACGAATGAATGAATGAGCTTCTGAACATGTATTCACTTAGCAAACTGTGACTAAGCTGCCTTAGGAAAGACCAGAAATATCAGGTGTGGTGAAGGACATGGAAATTCCTGCCGATTGATCGGGGCTGCCTAGAGACGGTTGTGGATACAGGTGTGAACATGCTGGGCTCCCTGAGAAAGATGCCAAGATGAATTACCAGGGGCTGGCGAGGACACGGAAGGGAGAGAGGCCACCGAGGCAGCTGACCTGCGACCCTGGTTTAAGAAGCAGCATTTGAGCTGGAACTTGAAGCACAGGAGGAACTGGGCTCTCTGGAAAAGGGGACAGTGCCAAGACAGTGGCTTCTGCCAGGGGAAGCACGTTACAGTGCAGAAGCAGGAAAGGGAGAGGTTTCCACCGAAAGCACAGGTCTTGGCCAAACTGAAGTGGGTGAGCAGATGAAGGGGAACAAGAGCGTGCACGTTAGAGGGGGTGGGCCGTGGAAGGCCTCACTTTCTCAAATTACTGATTCTTTTTGTGTTGTCCATTCCCACTCCCTCGCACCAATCCCTACTTGTTTTCCAAGCTTTTCCGAATCTCCTTGTCTCAGTGGACCCTCAATAAAGATCTGACAGAAAAACACATAGCTTGTTTTCATTAAGAACTGTTGTGGGCCCTGCAAATAAACCTCTCTCTCCAGCTCAGAAATATCTGAACCAATTAAGTGATCTCAGGAGCCTGAAGCAAGTCACTGGCCAACTAGCGGCACGTTAATCATGAGAAGTTGTTCTTTCTTTCACATGAAATAACTTTCTAGACACAGAATTCTCCAAACTCCAGGTGAAAGGGCTTGTAAGTAAGGTAACCACCATCATGTCATCAGGATGATAATTTAAGACGTAAATTAAAACATGGTTAACGCAAGACAAAACCGCAAGTATGTTTTCCCCCTTCACTGGTTTTTGCTGATAATCCTCCCTGTCCTTTAAGAGCTGTTACATTGCTAAAATAGACTTACCACTGGGTATTCATTTTGAAAGATACACTTGTGGAGCCCTTTGAAGAACTATCATTCTCTTCAAAAGGAAGTTGGGTGCAAAGGAGATAATTTTCCCTACTGGGGAAGTGTCCAACCATGTCATTTCTGCAGAAACCACTTGATTTGGTTGTAAGTTTTCTTTTTCTTTTTTTTAAATACTCACATACAAAAATCCAAAAGCCAATAAAAAGGCCACCTCCCTCAAGTCCTGAGAGCACAGTGGCTTTTAGATCACACAGGATTAACCCCATCCCCTACTCTTTAACTTTCACCCCAGCTCCATCCTCTTTCACACGTTTTATAGAACATAAATTATGGCACTTCACAAAAAAGAATAATGAGAAAGTACTATGCTGACCAGGAACCAGAAGGCTGGTTCACGTAGAAGTAATTCTGGAGAGAACAGCACAGCCTCAAAAATCAATCTGGCTGCTGCTTCGCCTGAATCCAGTTCCCTTGCTGGCGTCTGTCCGCGAGCAGACTCTCAACGGATGTTTTATGTGGCTGAGCATCAGAGGAAGACAGAAAAAGCAGTGTAAACTTTTTGCAAATTAACACCGCTTAGTTGATGACACACTTTTTTTTTTTTCTTTTCTCCAGGCCTAGACGTTCAGCACTGGAGAAATAAAGGATAAAGGAAAGCAGACATGGGCCCTGCTTGAACTCCTTGCAGGAGAGCTCAGACCAGACTTCTTGCTTTCATGACACTAAGGAAAAATGATCTCTTTCAATTTGGCTAACCCTGTTCTTCCCAGAACTGCTGCTGATTTTCACACAGCGGCAAATGTCACCTTCCTGATGTCAGCCACGGAAAAACCGGTCTGTCCCCTGGCAGTGTCACAAGACACGGCCACTGCCACACCGCCTTCCCACTCCCCACAGCCCCAAACATTCGTGTTCTGTGTGTGTCTGCAACCAATAGGAGGAAAAGTAACCTCTAGAAAAGAGACAGAACAGTACAAACGAATGACAGAGCCAAACTTTTAGACATGGAAACTCCTTAAAATCTTAAAAAAAGAAAAAAAAAGTTGAGGTCTTTGGAAGAATAAACACATCAGTTCTTTGAAAAATATCCCCGAGCCTATCTCCTCCTTTCAGTTTGACTGAGAATTGATACAGACTTGACACATCAGTGAATCTGTGTGCAGAAAACCACAAAGCTTGGAAAACAGATTCAAGGACATTTTCTACCAAATAAGCCAGGAGCCAGCATCAGCATGAGGCAAAACAGACTCTGTTTAGGGCCCAATGGAGCTGCCTCAGAGATGTAACATAATTCAAAGACCAGCACCTAGACCTGCTTGCAGTTTAAAGAGGCAGGAAAGAAAAAGCAAAATGCATCCCAGGATAAAGGTGGTCCATGTTTTTTTGGAGGCTGGGAGGATTCTGCGAATCCCCTTAAATAGTTATATATTCATAGATTCGGTTTTCTGTAGAGCGTCTATAAGCTTTCAGAAGATTATTGAAGAGATTCCTGATCCCCGACCCCCCACACATACTGCAAATAATCTCCAGAGCCAGAGGAAGCCCGCACCATCAGTGGCAAAGTTCCTTATAACTATATAATAAAACAGAGGATGTTTTACCTTCACAGAAAAGAGTTATAATATTACAATTTGTGGGCTAGCCATACTCAAGCAGTGGTGCAACGATAAATCTCTATAATGATTTTAAATTGTAAAATTATCCTCCTGGTTCCATAAATATATGCAGTGGTGATAAAAGATGCTTCTCACATAATGTATTACAGGACAGCTCACTGCATCATTATCTTGGCCTAGAATCAACAAGCTCCTCTCAATAAATATTAATTAATTAAGCAAGGATTAACTAAGCAATTTTGTTTATTCTGAAATTTGTTAAAGAGTTTTTTGGGGGGAGATTTGAGGCCTAGATTACTTTAAAAACAAACCCAAAACCAGAAATCTAAGGGAACACTTGGACTTCAGCCAGTCCTGAGGTCAATCCTGACACTGTCTTCAGGGATCAAGGCTGGGAGTTAAAGTCTAACCCCATTGTGAGAAGCCTGAACACAAAAGGGCATAGGACACGGATAAACGAAGGGAGAGTCCCAGGGGTATGGCCCACAAACCCGACACATGGACTGAATCAAAACCCACCCAGTGAAGAGGCTCATCAGGGGAAAACGCTGGAGCTGAACTTTCCCCACGTTAGCTTCTGTCTTCCCTGAATGGCGTATTACACTTGCCCCCAGGCACTGCACAAAGACCAGGCATTTTTGCTCAGAAGAAACCAGCAGAGTCACTTACCAGATGCAGGTGGCTGGTCAGTGGAGGGGCTTCCAGACCCAGGGCCTCCCCTCGTCCAGCCGGGAAGCCTTACATCAGCCCCGTCCACGGGCTGGCCTCCTGTCTCTGCCCCGTCAGCCGCTTTGGGTGGAAGGCCCAAGCCGTAGGCGCACTGGGGCAAGGGTCCACTTTGGGGGAAACCCATCAGGGGTTCCCGGTCCTCCCTAGCAGGGTTCCCGCAGCCCGCACAGCCATCTGCAGAGCTGGAGCTGGCTGCCCAGTGGGGGCAATTGCCACCCTCCACTTCTTTTTGCAAGTACTTTTCAGAGGACGCAGGAATCCAATCAGTCCTGCACGGGGGCTGGGCGCAGTGGCAGCTTTCAGAATCCATCAAGCTCTCTGTCCCAGTGAAGCACTGGCTCAAGCTGTCATTTTCCCCCACCTCCAGGGGTTCAGGGAAAGGCGGTGTGGAGGTGCCTCCAGGCTGAGTGAGTAACAGTATAGCGTCTGGGACCTGGGAGGGCCTGTCCATATATTCATCTTCCATGGGAACCTGCCTGAAGGGGTCCCCCTCAGTCTCGCTGATCAAGGTGAGCATCCTGGTATCTTCTCCCTGGGCACAGGGACCACCCCCTCCACAGGCACCACCATCGTCTGGACAGCACATATCTTCAGAAAACCGCTTGTCTTCCAGAGTCAGCAGTAAAACACTCTCACAGATTTCACGCTGACTAGAGGCTTCCACGTGAGTGCAGCTAAAATTGTTGCCTGAGGACTCCTGCTGATTTAAATTCAGAAGGCAGAGCATTAATACAAGTGTTGTTAGAACATGGTTCTGCTAAGAGCGGCTGAAAATTGTGTTTATAGTAATTATTTCCACCATAACAAGTACAGATGGAATACTCACTGTGACACTTTATTTGGGTTATTTAAGACTTGGGGTGGGGGAGAACCCGCAAATGGTGTACAACCAGAAACTGATGAATCCAGCTGCATTTCAAATGAATAGCATGTTTACACTGAACCAAGGGGGACAGCTAATTCTAATAACTTCAGAACACGGGATTCAGTCCCTGTACTCCTGACAGAAATTTAGACAAAGCCCGTAAACAAACAACTCCAGTTGGTGGCTTTGTTTTTTGCTGTGGGGTGGCTTAGTGATTCTGACACTACTTTCTGTGTATTCTGGAACTGAGTAAGCATGGTGAGAGTAACAGGAGGCAGGTTTCACACTGCTGGAGAAGGGAAGATTCAGAGACAAGACAGGGGAAGGCTAGAATGAACCCTGCAGTGCTGGGACTGGAACAAGAGGAATCTCGATGAGCTCTGGGTTTAAAATGTATACATCTTTATACCTAAACTTATATACCTTTATATCTATTTAGAAAAGAGAGCTGAAGGATATAATGGGATAATTAATAAAGTTTTCAGATCAAATGTAGATTAGATAATAGTACTGTACCACTACTACACGTTTTAAAAATTTTCTCATAAATGTACTATGGTTATATAGGAGAATGTCCTTGTTCGTAAGAAATCCACAGGAAAGTATTTAAAGGCGTAGGAGCCCGATGTCTGCCGTTCACTCCAAAATGGTTGAAGAGGAAAAAAAATATACATACACATGTACACACAGAGAGCAAATAATAAAGCAATTGTGAAAAGACAAACAACTGGTGCATTTGCATATAGGGAGGTGGAAGTTTTTAGTACTATTCTTACTGCTTTCCTATAGTTTTGAAATTCTACCAAAAGTAAAAGCCACCAACACAACTACAGAGTAAAGGAATGTGGCAGCTCTTCCCGCCCAGGAATCTGTCCTAAGCGATCAAGATTGGCACTAAAATAATGATATAAGTAACATATGGGCACAGAGAGGACAGCAATGGGATGAAACACAAGAAAACAGCATTTAGGATGAGAACTGACTTGGGCTTTGGGTTACTCCGTAGGCATCAATCCTGGGATTTGCAGTTCCGACGACCCCTCAAGGAAGTACCCATTCCCAGTGGGGCTCAGTATTTGAATAATAATAGTTATATCAGCCAAATCGTTAACAGTACTTAAGACTTCAATTTACCTTATTTCCACTTAGGCGACCGCAAGCCTCGTTGACCCAGTGCCACAAATTAGCTAGAAAAACAAAGTAAGGATAAAGGCCTCATAATATTATCTCCTATTTCTAATTCAGTATTATTGCCCACTATGTCAGTTCAATATTGTCTTTAAACACAGCCATCTGCAAATCTTTGAGAGTTCCTGAGAGTGAAAACATTTAAAAGAAAAATCAACCAATTTAAAGGCAATGAAGGCATCTTGCCCCTCCTTTCAAAAACAGAGCTTTCTGATCTATGTAAAGCAAAATATGGTCCCCTGCCGCTCCATCGAATACCTCTGGGCACACGGTGAAGGCTGTCAGAGCTGCCCTCAGCAAATCTTCTTTGACTATGAGGGACGTGGCTAGGTATTATAGGGGAACAAAGGTGACACGGGTCTAGGAGACTGAATTTGTAGTAAACTAGTGCAAACATATGTACAATAAAAGTGCACGCTGGAAGGCTGTGTCAGACCCCACTGAGTTCCAGTGGGCCCCAAATCCTTTTCCACTGTACCCCCCTGCTTCTCAGAAGAAAGAAGACGATGTTCTGTGACATACACAAAGTACCTCTTCCTTAACTTTTAAAAATAGAAGTGATGAAACTTAAAAATTAAATCTATGAATTAAAAAATATCTATTAATGTATATAATACAAAGACAAAATTTTATCCCACCTCCATTGGATATTTGATGTTGAAGTCTCTGTAAAGACTAGAGGCAAGTGTTGGTGGTATGGTGGTGAGCACAGCTGCCTTCCAAGACAAAAGCCAAGAGGTTGTCCCTTCTCTACTGGAGGACGGTCAGGTCATAGTAATAGGTAATGATACCTAATATGTGACCTTGCCTGGTTTACTTAACTTCTCTGAGCCTCAGTTCCCACATCATAAAATGGGGGAAAAAATGCTGCCTCCCTCACAGTGCTGTTGTGGAGACTGAGTTAGTACATGTGAAAGGCGTACAGCGGTATTGGGACATAATAAATATTTAATATATGTCACTTACTGCTGTGATCATCATTATTATTCATGCCTATTTTCTATCATTTGAAAATTATATAAAAATAAAGGTAGTCCAAATAAAAGGGAAGTTGCAGCCCTTTCCTTGTAGGGATCAGTACTAGACAATTACAGATGGTACAAAAAATAACATTTGTACACAGAGGTGACTGTTATTCAAAAATACTATGATTATCCATCTCCCTCCTGGATGACTGCAAAACCCCTCCTTACTGGTTGGTCTGCATCCACACTTACTGGACCCTCAAATTTGTTTCAGTTAATAAAATACCCAAATGCTTAAAACTAGAGGGATGTTTTTGCTTCCCTCTGCTACGGATGAGGTGCATAGTCCTCAGCGAGGCCTGCAGGGCTGTACCAGCTGGCCACGCCTCCCTTTCCAGTTTCTTCTCACACTGGTCCTGACTTTCTCCTCCAGCTGCACTAACCTTCTCTCAGTCCCTCCAGCTTGCCCTGCTCTGTCCAAATCAAGTAATTCTCTCCACATGGAACGCTTTTGAGTCTCTTTGGCTCCCCTCGGGCTAGTGAATTTCAACTTGTTTTTCAGATGTGGCTCCCCCTGCCTCCTCCCTGGCTGACCCTGATGCTGCGCAGACAACTCTGTCACCTGGAGCTCTGCTCCTCCCTCTCCACACTCAGCCTCACTCTGTGAGCTCAACATCTGCTGTGCCCAGGAGAAGCTTCCTCCATGAGGGCACTGGCTCTATGTGTGTGGATCCGTTTTGAGATCCCAGGGCCTGGCTGGTCCCTGGTGGCCAATAAACAGGTGTTGAACAAAGGGATGAAGAGAGAGCCGACAATCTGACAGTCATACATCCCAATTCAGTGACTGGCAGGCCTACTGCCCTTGCTTGGCATTGGGAAGGTAAGGTGGTAAGAGATTGTCACAGAGACAAAAATAAAGAATGAAACATCGGAAGTCTGTTTATCTCACATAAACATGACTACACAAGTGATCTGCGTCATCTGAATGTGTGTTATTGAAATCCCCACTCATGATGCTGGGAAGGTGAAGTTGCATTAAATAACAATATTCAATAATGAACAGACTTCCTAAAAAGTGAATTGCAACTTTTCCTCTTCACTCTCTGCTTAACACTGGCATCTTTAATCACCGTCTTCCCTCTTTAATTAATCTTTTGATTGCCCAGTGTTACATTAGGTAATGTGATGTTGATGGAAATAGTAAGTATGCAGGGTTGTGTGAAGTCCCTGGGTGTGACTGTGGGAGAACTGATGGAATCACAGCAAAGCAGAGGCGGTCCAGATAAACAAGTGAGCCGCCGAAAATGGGAAAGGACGGTGAGGCCGCAGGTGCTTCAAAAGAGAACGAAACACCTTTAGGAAACTTCATGAACCTTGAGTCCTTTCTTTAAAATTACACTTTTTTAGCTTTGTAGTATAAAAGTCAAGCATGACGTGGTGCTACAAGAAACTATATATATAAACACCTTTTTTTGTGGAAAAACCATTCCCAATACACAAGGTAACACTTGATCACTCATTCTAAGATTGAGCACCTAAATTTTACTGTATAAGACAACTTACTTTCAGAATTTTAAATCCACACATCAAGGTAACACCCCAGTCAAAAATTTCCATCTCCCACTTACCTGAACATTTTGTCTCTGTTTTAAGTAATTAATTTAAATAATTAAGTAATTAATTTAAGTCATTTAAAATGTTTGTATTCTAGAATAAATGCAACCCCTGTATATCTGACGCTGCATAATTCATACAACAGTCTTCAGTCTCCTCCACCTTTTTGTTTACATGTAAACAGGCACAGTGATGTTTGTTCTGCCAGAGAACAACGAATTAGGTATAAAGTGCGTTTCACTTTAGTTTAAACAGATCACCCTAGAGGCAGTCAGAGAGCAAAACATGCATCTTCAAAGCACACACCTAGAAAGGTACCTGTTGTCTTTAAGATTCGATTTCAAAAACCACCACGAACACAATACCTGTTAGTGCTTTCCCTTCTCTCCTGTAGTAAACACCGAAGATGACGGCAGCAACTAACGCCACAGAGATGAAGAGGAGCAGGATGATTAAACTGGGCAAGTAAGTCTGGGGTTCTGTGTCGGAAGAAAATGAGAAAAACAGCATTAAAGGTCGTTTATTTTCACTCTCTAAATTTGAAAGCAAAACGCTTTCAACCAGACCCCAGAATCAAGGATGCTGGTGCGGAGGAAGAGAAGTTGGAAGTTCCCGACCCTGACTGTCCGTGTGTCCCAGAGCGCTCCCCCTGGGAAGGGTGAAACCCACCACGTGGCTGGTCCTGCCCATCAGCGTCGTGCCCTGAGGGAGGTCAGCCCAGGGCCGTCTTTAAATGCTTCTACTTTAGAACAACTCCAGGCAGGTTTACCACGCCATCCAGTTCCCTCTTTGCTTACCTGCAGAACGCTGCAACCTCTCCAGGAGGATGGGCTCCTTCTTCGTAACAGTCTTTTAAAAACGCTGCTCTGACTGTGGAGCCCCTTATCCAGAACTCTTTGATGTTTTTGTTTTCCTGTTTCCCAAACTGTCAAAACTAAACCCTCGATTTTCTTAGTCCAAGTTCATTCACGCTATTACTCTGTGGCCCAGGTTCCCTTGCCTCATTAGAAAGGTCTTCTTGCCACTTATGCTCCTCCTGTGCTGTGATACCTGGACCCACCTCCACACTCACCTGGATAACCAGCATCCACCATTAATGGTCAACTTCCTGCCAATCTTTGAAACTGTCCTTAAGATTAATTTGATCAACAAAATGTTCCATAAATAATGATATCTATATTCTAAATAAGTTGCTAACTCTGGTTGGTGACCAGAATCTGCCAAAGATACCCTACTGTGCCCGCCACCACCCTACCATATTTGGACATTTTAATTTATGTTTGCAGCCCCATGTTCTTCTTCTTTCTTTGTATATATGAGTAAGTGACTAGTTATCCATTCCAGAGTAGAAAATTATCAAGTAAACAACACATCTGGAATTAAAATACTGATAAAAATGAAATACTGAGCTGACCATAGATAGGATGAGATGAAAAGGGAAAGATGGACCCCTCCCGACACAGCATGCAATTTGGGAGAAATCTAGAAGAACTTACTAGACTGGGGCACATCTACTTACCAACCTGCTCTATGAAACATACCTTTTGGTGGTTTTGCAGATGGCAGAGAAGAACTACAAACCACATCTGATTTCTTGGTCCCATGATGTGCTTCCTTCTCTCCAAGAATGGTGCAGCTGTGAGGGGAAAGGTAAGTAAGTGCTTTGGTTTTATATTCTTATTTTGGGGGGTTTTTTTTAAGCTACAAAATGCGCTACCCCACTAGATTGCTAGCTCGTTCGGGAGAGGAACTTAACTCTTCATGGATGTTTGAATCCCCAGTGCCTATCCACACATCATTAAGGTGGACAAATAAATAAACAAAAGTAACTGCTACCAGTGCTCTCTAAGACTACTCTGAGAGCATGGTCTGAAAGAGGGTAGACTGGTGTCTTCAGTGAAGGCAATTCCAAGTTCAATTACTGCGGCTAACTGATAAACTTTGGACGAATATTCTTTTGAAGCTGAAAACACGGAAAACCTTTTGAAAATAAAAGTTGGATAAGTCGATCAGAAAATAAATATTTAACGAGAATTTATATATCGGGGAATGAAAGAATCATGACGTTGATTATTAGTATTCAACCACAAGCAGGCAACCAAAGGACCCAGGAATTTCACTGTGGACACTCTCATAGAAGCGTAAGATAGTATACAGATGAGATGATTCATTGCAAAATTATTTATTATGGCAAAAGACTGGAAACAACTTAAATGACTATCAATAGGGAACTTACTAAATAACTTATGAAATTATGGTACAGCTCTATGATGAAATACTATGTAGCTATAAAAAGCTACAAAGATTTAAGTGAACTAATATGGAATGCTTCATTCAGGATACATTATGGGAAAAAAAAAACCCAAGTAGGTAAACATTTAAACAGGATGCTTCCATATGCACATATAACACACACACACACACACACACACACCCCTCTGGACAAATAAACCAGTGGTGTTGGGAAGCTGGGAAAAGTAGGAATCATGAGTGATAATAAATGTCATAAATCATTTGCAACTAAAGTTAAAACAAGGGAAAAAGCAGCTGCAACTGTAGCCAAAGCTTCAGTCAAACTGAATCTAACAGGTCTTACGTAGCCTGCCCATATCAGGTTGGCGATTGGTTGGACAGGTTTATCTTCCTTACGCCCAACTGACAGACTTTTTCCATCGTGAACATGGCTCCAGAGGAGGCCTCACCACACTGAATCAGTCTGTTTTCAACCCAGACAAGACAGCCAGAGATTGAGTTGTTTAAAGTCAGCAAACTCCCTCTAGGTTCCTTTGTTGTCACTTACTTGGTCCAGGGTTTGCACTTCTCTGTGGAGGAAAAGGTGTCAGAGAAGTAGCCCATGAGGCAGGGTTCGCACATCGTGTCTTTGTTGAGCTGCACTGTCCAAAAGACAAACGGACAAAAGAACACACAAGACAAACGAGGACACTTAGAGATCGGCCAGGATGATGGTCCACAGGACCAGCAATCAGGTGCTGCCCCCCTGCCCCTTGCCTCCCCCTTCCCACCCTTGCCACCTGCAGCTGATGGCTTCAGCCCCCATAGGCTTCGGAGACCTGAGATCCCACAGCAGGTGACAGCACTGTGCCCAGAAGGGTAACTGGTATCAAAGTGCAAACGCCAGATGTGAATTAGGTCCAGTTCTCTGATCTGGACCCTTTGCTGGTCAGAGCCACCGTCCTGGTCACTGATGCTTTGTTTCCTGGCCATGAAACCTGCTGTCTGATTTGTTTTAACCAAGCACCTGTCTGTTCTTCCCTTTGGGGATTATATCAGCCTTTGTCTACAGAGAATGGCAGCCTGTTCACTGCTTCTAAAGGAAACTGCTTGGTGGGGAGGGTATAGCTCAGTAGTAGAGTGTGTGCTTAGCATGCGCAATGTCCTGGGTTCAATCCCCAGTACCTCCAGCAAGAAGAAAACAAATAAATAAACCTAATTACCTCATCCCCCCAAAATAAAGGAAACTTCTTGTCCTAACCTTTCTGATCTATAATCTCACCAGTCCAACCAAGTCTTAGAATGCCAACAAAGTTTTCTCAAAAAAAAAAAAACCCCAGAAACTGAAAGGAGAAAAAAAAGAACTACCCTACACTACAGGTCACTTTCTCTTAAACCAAGGGTTGGTAATAGAAGTTTTGTGTAAAGGGCCACATAATAAATATCTTAGGCTTTTCAGGCCTTCTGCGGTCTGCAGATTACATGTAGCATGAGAGCAGACACAGTGAATGTGTGAAAAAAAAATGAATGTGGCTGTGTTCCAATAAAACTCTATTTACACAAACACAAGTGTTGGGATGGATTTTGGACCCCTGCCTTAAGCCACAGCACTGAAAGCAGGAATTGGTTCTGGTTAGTAAGCTGTCTTCAGCTCTCTCATATTTCTCATAAACTACATTATCAAAATAGGAAATGTCTCAGATTTCCTACGTCTATTGCCTTTACTGCAATTGACACATGATGACCTCTGCTGATGCCCATAAAGAAGGACATTGGCTAACACATGAGATTATAATCAGGCAACTGGCTTGTGCCAAAACCACAAATTACTCTTGAAATCAGCAGCACTTCTGTGGTTTATTTTCATGAATAAAAACACTAAAATAAGAACTTAATATGTTCTTTGTCCAAAGTCAAGGGGGAAGTACATTCTTGATTTCTGCAATTGACTCAATAAGTAGGGTACCCCATCCCTTATTCTAGCGATTTGATTTGCTTTGAAATATTAGCAAAGGTGTAGTTAAAAGCTAGTCACTCACATTCATTCAAACAGTTTTTAAAAAGATAAACACACTCGAGAAGATTAACCCAGAAAACAAAGACTTCCTAAGGGGCTGCAAAGCACCAAGAGCCTGAAAGGCGTTGATATCTATACACTTGACTTTCACATCTGCTCTTCGTAACACTGACCTGCTGGGGGCATCCTGCACGTTCTTCTTTTTCTTTTCCCCTTTCAAAAGCACACTACTTTCACTTTATAAGAGAAGGCACACTTCTTACCTACTCCAAATCCTACCATGGTGCCAAACTTCCGAGATACCAAACAGAGCAACAAGTCAAAGTATGGGTGATGGAAAGCTCCTGCGTTCAGAGCACCTCAGTATAGCTTCTGTCTTTCCCTATCTATAAAGGGCAAGGGTGTGACAACAGAAATGGGATGTCTGGGATCAGGCTGAGCTGTTCTGAGTTCAAATATCCTGCAAGGTCAGGTGGGAGTGAAGTTTTCATTCATCCACGTCACCCCCTGTACCCTCCACCTATTGCTGAGGAATGCACCAAGGAGCAAAGCAGAGAGGACACAGATCCGAAAAAAAAAGCAAAAGGGGTGCAGCACACTTTTTTCACACAGGCAACACACTTTCTGAAAGGCTCTGGGTCTTGCCTATGTCTTAGAACCAGAATTAAAAAGGCAGCAGGCTGTCACAGGGAGATTTATTTTAGAATTAAAAAAACCAAGTCAGAATTCTTCCCAGAGACAGTGAGTCTTGTTTAGTTGATAATTTGACAATACGGACTGACTGTATCAGTTAGACGCTGTGATGGTTATTTTCCTCAGTACGGAATGAAATGAATAATATTTTAATGCTCCCAATCCTGTGTTTCACTTCTATAATTATAGCAAAACAAAGTATATTCATTTTTTGACCAACTGTGTAATAATAACTGTAGTAACACCTCAGCCCCAAAGAGATGTTTTTAACTTTCAGAACCTTGAGTTACAGGAAATCTTTAAAAATTAAAATTTCAAAAAGGTCCATATTTTTTTGATGTATAAGAGTATGAAAAGGTAATTAGTAAAAACCCTCCAAGCCTAAAAATATATTAGGATAAAACTGCGGGGATGGTGAAATGGATACAAATCAAAGGGTAGTAAAGAACTATATAAAATTTCCAATAGTTTAAGAGGATCGGGGTATTTTTAAATGGATGATGATGGGTATCAAATTGCTGTGGTTGAGATTCCACTGAATATTTTTTAAAGCATTAAACTGCTGTTCCAATTCCCTGGAAACTAAGTCCTTAGCAACTCCTTAAATTTGTAATACAATTTTTTAGATGTCAAACATACGGCAGGAGGTGCTCAGATTTTCAAAATTCTTCTAAGGGGGTGCACACGTTTTTTAAAAAAGTTCGGGGGGCCCTGCAGGATCCAGTTCCCCACCAAAGTGGGGATGAGAAGGTTGCACAGAAGGAGTGTTGAGCAGAGCACGTGGGCCGAGCGCTGACATTCCCTTGGAGGCACCTAACCTGGGGTCAGTTCCCGGGGACCCTCAGGCTCCTCCAGAGCCCACCCCCCACACCCGCCAGCTCCCTGGGAGCAGTGTGGTGATGCCGGGCAGCTGTCGGGAAGCCCGCCTTGGCCTGGGGGCGCTTGCACGGCTAGGGCAGAGCTGGCAGATACACGAACCCAACCCGTACCCGGATCCCGGGCGCCGAAGCCCGGCGCGCACTTGCTGTTGCGGCGGCAGCAGTGGCAGTCCTCGCTCCAGTGGTACCCGGCCGTGCAGGCGCAGCGCCGCGGGGCCGTCCGGTTGCCGGGCTCCACCGCCACCAGGGCCTTGCCTGCGGGAGAGAGAGACAGGGCGGCGAGGCAGCGGGGGGCAGTGTGGATGCACATCTTCCGCCTCGTGCCACCAACTCTGACACTCCTGGCCCCAAACCCAGCGCCCGCGCAGCTTCGTGGACGGATGAGTCAGGCAGGACCCCTGGATGCAGGAACTCTCCAGTTCCCACTCACCCACACACACTTTGAGCTGGCACTAAAACATCCCAGTGGGCTTTGCTTTCTCTTTCTTTTCTTTTCTTTTTTCTTCCCTTTTCTTTCTTTCTTTCTTTCTTTCTTCCTTTTCTTCTTTCTGTCTGTCTGTCTGTCTCTCTCTCTAATAACGAATCCTGTGGGGTTTTTTAAAAGTCAGTTTTCATGTTAGTGGGAGGATTAGGGCCCCAGGAGTTTATGATCTTTGACTATTTTGGC